TTGCAAATTGATCATCTTTATCCTGTCTTTCAGTGTTTTGCTGCTCCTCTTTATTCCTTTTCAATAGTCTTACCTGACTTGCAGTTTCAAGCCCCTGTGCAGGGTGTATTGCTTAGCCAAGTAGCTCTGTTGCTGCGCCTGGCAGTTGTTCTTGCCCTTGTGCCCATAATCTAATTTCTTTTGCGGAACCACTGACTTTTCTTCCTTCTCTTCTTACTCTTGTCTCCTACAAGATTTTACCTATTGATTCTCTACATATATCAAAGCTTGTCTTTATGAATTTATTTTCTGTTTTACCCTTCTTGAGAAGAACAGATTGCAGCACAGAACCTTTGCAGATTTGTGAACTCTCTTCTTTTCATTAGCACTGTCACCTCAAATGCTGCCCAAATGGGAAAGAAGTGGCTGAGAAACTATTAGAATCAAATATAGAAGACTCTTCATTTATTTTCACCCTCTGAATTAAAAAAAGATTGCAAGAGCACACCCCAAGGATTTCCTTGATATTCTTGTATCTTGATGCACTTTTTATATGTGGTGCACTGAAATATTCCCTGTGTTGTGTATCTTTAGGCTCCGAAACTCACCCAGCAGCTTTTTGCCCTTGCTGACCTACTCCATAACACTGCCCATCAAATTCCCCCTTTCATCACAAACTAGAGACTTTCAACATCTCTCTCCCCTCGTGTGCTGCAGAGCTTATGTAAAGATGTCCTTGCTGGAGAAACCGGTGCAAGTCCCATCCCCTCCGTTGTGCCGCTGCGTCCTCTTAACGTTAAGCAATGCGAACTCACTTGCCGAGTTGTGACGTGTGGAAGTGCCAGAGCCCGGGTGCTGCAGGAGGTGACTCGGGTGCCGCAGGGGGTGACTCGTGTTGGCCGTGGGGGGTGCGGGCTGTGGGCTGCGCTTTGGTGGGCGTCTTCAGTGACGGATCCATGATGAACCTCAATTTCTTTTCTCTTGAGTTAAAACTAACTTCCTGACACAATGTGAAAAAATGTTTTGCATTGTTTGAAGGTGGAGCAAACACAATTTATGTATTAAATTGCATAATAAGTAATAGGTAATTAAATTAACACAATTTATGTATTTCTCCATTAAGAAATGGAGAAAGCATTAAGTAAGAAAGTACATATATTAAAATGCCTACAATTAAGGAAAACTGGCATTGTTCACTTATGTCCACTTATGTCCACTTATGTTCCTCCAAAGAGGAAAACTGCTGCTTTGACTTGGTTAGAAATGTGTTGTTTCTATGAGCTATTGTTGCAGGGTATTGACAGGTGCTTTCTAGTGTGCTGTGGCTTTGGAATCTTGGGTATTGTGGGGTGAAGAATTAAAGCAAAAATGCTCTGGTCTAATAAAGGGGCGAGAGTTGTATATTTTTAAAATTTCTGATTCTACATCCAGGAATGTCAAGTTAACACCTGGCTTGTAAATACTCCCCTGATATTAAAGATGGTGGGGTAAGTCCCAGTTATCAAAATGTATCTAGATACCAGTTTACCTCAGTTCATCCAGCTAAGTTTTTCTTTAAAGTCACTTGAAAGTCCTACAGGTTTTCAATTACTTGTGCATCTTCAAGGTGAAACAAAGAAAGCCCTCTTCCAATACAGAGAGGATTCTTCATCTGTTAGTCTTCCCTCTTCTTTCCTCCCTACCTGCAGTAAGGAGGAGTTCCATATGCTCTTGTGCTTCAGCCACACATTTTCTGTTTAGACTTTTAAGGTCAGCGTTTAGGATGGATAGATCTAAGATATTTTTACAAAAATGGAGTAAGTTGGATATGATAATAATGATTATGTAGTCTGCTGGAGAGAGACCTTGTGCTTTTGCTTGCATCTGTGTATGTTTCTTTTGACAACACCAATTGTATATGAAGAAGCAACATTAATTTAAATACTTTCTGTGTTTGAAATTGTTTTTAATTTAGTTTTGTAACTGAGAATAGGTCAGAACCACATATGATCAGCCAGCTCTCCATAGAGTGCTGCCCGACATCCCCTATAGCAAATTATTGAAGCATTTTTTTGCTTTACGAGATCTGTTTAGGGTGGAGCTGGAGAAGATTTTTCCAATAAAGAGTAAATGAGGCAATGGCTGGAAAGTTTATTGTCTTTGGGTCACATGTGAATTTGCTCTAAATTCGTAAATAGCTCTAGATGGAAATACTTTTTTTCAGCATTTAGCTCACAAACTAACAACAACACAGAAAACACAGGATCTTAGGCAAGAGGAATGATCGATTCTTGCAGATTGATTTTCAAAGTGTAGATTTGGTCCCTTCTGCTTCTGTGCAGTTTGAAGCATCCTCTGCTAACGGGGAGAAGGTCCCTTTGAGCCCCTGAGTACCAGGAGAGCTCAGAATTGCTCCTCTTGGTAGCACTGAGAGCTGGAAAAACCAGAGGTTCCCAGCGTGGTGGCGACAGGCCGGCTAACCCACCGGACAAGGCTTTTGGCCCAGGAGGGCTCAGTCACAGCTGCTTTGTTTTTTAATAAAATGCTTTACCATAACTAAAGTTACATGGATGCCTTGGAGCTGATTATTAAATCACTCCCAGGGCAATGCAGCAACTATGTTGATGAATGTTTTTTAATAAGAACACTCAGACAGGGCTGGGAAGGAGAATCAGCAAGAAAGGTGAGTGTGCTGCATGCCAGTACCTGCACACGCCTGCATTCGTGTGGGATCTCTGGGCTCACCCTTCTCTGGGCAAAATGAGGACTCGCACTTGGCTGCTGTGGTGTGTGGCCAAGCCCGCGTCACTGGGTAGACAGGGACTCCTAAGCACCACGTATGCTGCCTCCTCATTTTTACTGAAACTCTTTGCTTCCCTTGCTTTCCTCCCAACTCCGTGGGGGTGAAAAATTTCATTTTAGATCTGACAATAAGGTGCTGAAAAATCCCAACCATTTTTTCTAACAAATACATAAACAGATAACACAAAAAATAGTTTTTGTTTCTCCCCCCCTAAAGTTGAAAAGTTGCATATTTGATCTCGACATGAGAATCTGGAGTTTGGCACTATGCTGCAAATCGAGATCTGAGGCTTATGTTAGATGGCAAGATTATCTGTGGGTTGTTACTAGCTTTAGAATGTATGAAAAGCATTCCAGGCTTGGAGAAAATAGGCAAACAGATGAAACCAAGGATGTCAATAAAAGGCAGACCAACATCCCTGGGAAGAAAGTCTGTTCATGTAAGCCAGACCAGCTCTTTTCTAAAGAGAGTGAGCTATATTTCCTTTTTTTCTTTTCCCTTTTTTTTTTCTTAAAAAAAAGGCAATACTAATTTAATGTTAATTTAAAAAAGAAAGAAAAAAAATTTCTATTCTTAGCGACTTTCTGTCAAGCTGTAAATTATACTTTATGGTAGGTAGTGGGACTTAAGGCAGTGTTCATGGTGGTGCAGGGCCCTCTTCTGTGGTGCTGTGCACCTTGTGGACAGTGCTCGTGAAGAAGGCGAAGTTAAACTGGAAGGAGTGTTGAGAAGCGCCATGCCAATTGAAATGGAGGGATCCTGTTATAAGAACCTGCGTGAACACAGCCTGTTTAGCTCAGCAAAGTGAAGGCTGGAGAGGCATACAAATTTGTGCTATAAATAGTTTGGGGAGTTATAACCTGTAAGGGAAAAATCTATTTTAAGGACAATGTTGGCACAAGAAGAACTAGGTGCAGGCAGGCTGGGAATACGTCGAGGCAGGAAATGGGGAGGTTTCCTGAGGTGTTGAGCTTTAGCAAGGTTCTGCAGCAGCCCTCTGATATTTCATTTTGCAGCTTTATTCTCCCCCCCCCTTTTTTTGAGGTAATTGTGGATATTTTATGAACAGAATTATATAATGTAATTATAGTTCTTTATGATGACTCTGGAGGTGCCTTCCAGCTTTGTGTCTTAAATCTTAAAAGTTTAAAATCCTCTTGGTCACCAGTTTCTCTGAACCTTTGTTCCAAATTACATTTGCCTTGAAGACATCAGTGAGGTCATTAAGAAAAGTTCTTCTGCACAGTGGGCTCAAGCTTCGCAGTGGGCAGGCTGGTACCCTTGACCTCTAGGAGAGGGGGAGCCAAGAACAGGGAAATGCAGAAGTTCAAATATTAGGAAAAACCTCTAGTCAGATGTGATCTGTTGTATAGCATGTGGGATTACCAGTGATGTTTACCCAACAGATTGAGATTTTAAATTTAGTATGAATAGTATGTTTATGCTATTAGTAACAGCAGAAATATGTAGCTGTCTAACCTTTACTCTCTCATTACTCATAGACAAAGATGTTTAAAGAATAGGCAGATGTTTCAGTAATCCCTTTGATGTTCAAGGACGGTCTCCGGATATTTTCTTAGGTTGTACTTTTAAAGTTGCAGTATCAGTGCATCCTAGATAAGATTCTTTTGATAAGAAAGTAAGCACATGTATGTTCCACTGAATTTTAGCCCTCCAGTAAGTGCTTTACAGCTAATAAATCTCGCAGTCCAAAGATAAAGGTCAAAACTATATATCCTGAGGTCCAACCGTAACCTTATTTAGGCTTGTTCCTGTGGGAGGGGATAGGATGTGTTCAGTATCTTGGCAATCTAATGATTTTCTTGATATTGTTTAGGCAAACTGTGATACCTTTCTTGAAAATGTTAGTCAAATGCCACTTATTGAACTGAACGGGGAAGGAACAGCGTAATGGAATTTGTGTGCCTCTTTAGCCTCATTTTGCTATATTATACCAAATGGGAGGTAACAGGCCCTTCTGGTTTTGTGATCTTCATTTATTTTCAAACAGCCCTGAAAATGTAAAATAGAAATAAAAGGAAATCCAAAGGAAGGATGCAGCTTTAGCTTCCTCCTCTATTCATCCTGGCTGAAAGAAGGGGACACATCCAGTTTAATCAAATAAAGAAGGAAGCTGCTCTGCCAGCAGGCAGTAACAGCTTGTCCTGGAAGGTAAGAGAGGGTGGACGCTGCCACGCGGTGCTGTGCGCGTGGAGGGCTGCGTGTCTCGCCCGTCACGATGGCTGCATCCCTGCCCCAGCACACGTGGCGGCTCTTGTGCCGTGCGGACAGAGCTCGCGGGATGCCAGGGAAGAGGGAAGCTGCCCAACCATGGGCACAGCCGTCTCTTGCTAGGCAGTGTCTGATACGCTAAAGCCTTGGTGTAATTTAAGAATCGACATGTGTCTAAAGACATAAGTTCTCCCTTTCACAGAGTAAGGAAAAACTTATTTTTTAAGCAGCTTTTCAGAAAAAGGAGTTGGGCAAGAAGTGGTGCTGAGAGGCTGTTTCACAGTGCGTTGTGGTACATATTCTTGCTCGCTGCTTCCAGCAGATAGTAGTGACAGAAGGGAGTTTTGTTTTTGCCTTTTTGTTTGTTTTTGTTTTTGCATGCAGCCAGCTCGAATTTTTGGAGTATTTTGGGGTATGTGTGTGCTCTTGGACCTGGTCCACTCCTTCAAGGCACATGTGGTAATTATGTTTGCTCTGTAATCTCCTGATTCTCAGATGCTAGCCAGAGATTAACCTCCTGCTGGACCTTCCTGTCTTCATAGTAATGCCTGATGTAAGCACAGTTCAAGCAGTGAGGGGGGAAAAAACAAGGTACATGGAGCAAAGCATTTTGGAGAGTAGCGTCTAATCAAATAGCCCGGCTCCCTTCCATGTGCAGGACTTGTGCTTGGCTGCTGGTATCCTCAGGGCAGAGCGGTGCCCATACCAGTGTCGTGGGGCTGAGCGGGACGTACGTTTATACCCGAATTGCTTGGGACTTTCTACAGAAATTGAAACCGGATTTATTCCAGATGAACACCTACTTTAGGAGGCAAGGGGTATGTGTGGGGAGCTTTTGGCATGGGATGCTTAGTTGTATCAGCTGCAGAAATATGAACCTGCCTGTGATGAGGAATGCCCTGTGGCAAGTTGTTTAGTTCAAATGATTTTTTAAAATCTTTTTCTCTCTCTCACTTCTCTTTTTCCCCTTTTTTTTCTTTCTTTTTTATAAGCTTCCCCAGTAATTGAACTGTATGAGTGTAACTGACTCTGCGATTTGTCTGTTTTCTGTTTTTAAAAAACAAACAACAACATTTTTTTTACTTTTCTCAGTGGATCACTATTTGTGTCAGGAGTAGGAATCTTTATTAATGGAGCTGAGAGGTCTGGCTGTCCAGGAACTGCTTGGGCCTCCTTGCAAAATTCAGGGCTGTGTGGTCATGTGAGCCTACGGTGTTGACACACTGTTGCGGAACTGCAATAGGAAGTTTGTTCTCCAAAGCTGTATGCTTTGTGTTTTCTGGGTTAGCTTGGTGTCTTGTTCGGCTCCATGTTGTTTGATAGTACAAGTATTTGTTAAACTTATAAAATTGAGATGTGTTCATTTTACTTGGGGTTTTGCGCCACTCCTGGTTGTTTCTGAGATTTGTGCGCAGTAGCTGCGATGACTTGGGAATCTTTGTGGGAAGAGTTTCCTGTGTTCAGGTTCTCCTAAATTTGCGGAGCATTCCTAAATTCACTTGTCTTTCAAGTATTTCTGGGAATATTTTCCAGATAAGCGTGTCTATGTTCACCGGAGGGGTGACTAGCGTGACGGCTGCTTTGCTCTTCTCTGAAGGGTTTGATCTGGGAAGGTGTCTAATGCTTCTCCATTCATTCCCAGGAGAGTGCTAATGGGCAACAGAGAGGGACATCCCAAATATCAGGGCAGATGCCAGAAAAAGCCCTGTTTTGGCTACTCAGGTCTCCAGTAGTCTTACTTTCTCCAACATCACATGAGCGACATTTCTAGAGCAGTCAGAAGAACAGCAAAGTACCCTTCTAAGTCCTGCAGCCTGTGTGGATACAACCATTTTGGAGAGTGGGCCCCAGTCACACTAAAAGGAAGGACATGTGTTGAAATTCCACATGATCTGTCAATATTGCTTCTGTGATCACGTCTTTTCTTCTTTCCTAACACAGCCCACTGTTTGTAACGTGGAAGATTGGTCGAGATAAACGATTGCGTGGATGCATAGGTACTTTTTCTGCCATGAACCTGCATTCAGGACTCAGGGAGTACACACTTACTAGGTAAGATTTGTCTTCTGTAGCCTTGATTTATGTTTAAGTACTTTACTGGGGAAATACAGGTGTATCTTTGGTTCTTTTCTTTTGTCTTTCACAGTACTGATCAACAAACTTGTATTTCCTTTTGATGCTGAACTTATTGCCAGGTTTTTTGACTACTGGTATCATGATGCTATGGTTTCAGTTAAAAAAAAAAAAAACATAGTTTGTCTGGACATTGTTGGTCTGGAATACTACTTTCCAGTAGCTTATTGTAACTGAATATTGCAGTATTTTTTCCAGTGGTCAGATAAATTTTAACCTTAATAGTTAACATCAGGGCAGAAGACCAGAAAGACAGATTTTGGGATTATCCTATTCACGCTTCTAAAACAGCAGGTATTCTCACCTCTTCTCCATCAGGTGCTTCCAATCAGCTGCAGTTAATTTAATGCTACAAATTTCCATTACATGTTACTCTTCAGATACATCTCAGCCCCTGGGTGGGAATCTTCTGGATGAGGGAGGTAAGTGGTGATAATCCTTTACTCCCTGGCAGCATAATCCTTCATTTTTCGATCTACACCTAAATTCATTCACCTTAATATTGTTCCATTTCCTTTGCATAGAGTGAAAACTAATAAGTTTATCACTAGAGCTATTAGTAAGCTTGATTTTTCTAAGATTTTCTAAGATTTTTCTGAGAGTTTTTAAAATTTACTTTCTAAAGAATTAATGGCATTTGGTTCACTTAGTTACAATAGACTGTTTATAGTGCTTTAAAATATAAACTACATTCTGGCATGTAGATCTCTAAAATTGTCATTACTTAAAATAATTGGTGCCTCCAGACCTCCTGAGATTGGAGACTTTCTTCCAATATGATCTTCTTTGCTGTTAAGCACCTTTTCACAGTCTTGATATTGACTGATATTAAAATGGGCCATGTTCTCTCTTACAAGTCTCAAGTTTGTTGTGAGTTGAAGTTCATTTCATGCTTCTTTTTGCTCAGCTTCAAGAAATCAACTGCTCATCTCCTGGAGTTCCTTGTAAACTAGGCCTGAGAAACCTAGTTAGGTCTTGGTGTTGGTCTTACGTGATGTGGAATATTTCTGTTTGTGTCTTTTTTAAAACGCAGTAATCAAAATGGCCAAGGAGAAGAAGCATACAAAATATGTATAATATTCATGTAGTTACACAGGTAAATTTGGAGCAATTTCTGTGTTGAAGATTAAATGCCTTAAAACTTGAGTTTTAATTGGGCAGAGTGGGGGGAAAAAACACCTGTACCTGCTCCAGAGAGCTTTTCATTTAAGTGTCCTTTACAGTGCCATATCCAGAACAGTGAGCTTGTACAGAAAACTTCCCTCTAAGATTTAGATGATTACTCAAAAAAAAGTCCTGCAAAATGATCAATACAGTAAGGAAAAAATGAAAATATATCAGATACACTCTAGTTATTAAGCTACAAGAGCAAAAAAAAATTAAAAGGTATTTTTTAACCTTTTAATTACATTAAGTATATTAAAATATTGAAACAGCAGTGTTGCTCAAATCTTTCAAATGATGCTGTAATCTTGTGTAACCTTAAAAGTGCTTAAAAGGTTCCTGTCACCATGTTCCAGTTTTAGAAGCTGCAACTCAAGATATACAGAGGTGAGATATAAGTAAAAGAAGCTGAAATACATTGAATACAGTATCCAAACAATGGCCACATACTATGGAAGGTTATGCTGGGCTATGTAGAAGGTGCTTTGATAGCAACTTCCTGCTAATTAGAAGAGAATTTCACTATAGTTAATTTTCAAGGGGAAAGATACTGGAAAATACATGCCCAGATATATATTTTTCTAATCTTTATTTAGGATACCATATTTTTTATCAATGATCTTTAATGGCGTATCAAATTCTGTTACCTTTTATGGAAAGCCTTTCTTGTCTGTTCACCAGATCAAAATTAATTTGTGTTGTTTTTAAAGAAGTACTTCAGATATGACCACTAAAATGTTAACATCATATGTTAATGTACCCAAAAAGTTGTTCTTTTATCTCAAAAATTATATATAAAAAAAGGAGAGAGACACCTGTGATCAGTTAGTCTTCTCAGCTGCAGAGCTTCCAGTGGAGAAGGTCTGAGGAATAATAAAAGCATCCTTGGAACATCTATGAACTTTCCCAGTTTGGAGCTCCACAGGCTTCACTAGGAGGGATCAAAAAGAGGGACACTGTAACTTGATCAAACAGTATGTGGGCAATAGTGTTCTTGTGGAAGATGAGAGAATGCCTGAAAGTGAAGAAAAAGTTTTTCAGATGTTTTGCAAAGTAAAATTAATCAACAAAGCAGGCAGCATGTGAATAGCTGTCTGCTTCAGAAGGCAAACTTGGATTAAGAATAAAGGATGAAGGCAGGTGTTCTTCTGACATCATTTCACTTTGATGCTGAGAGGCATTTTTCTTCAAGCCCTCTGAAGATTAGAGGGGTGAACAGAACTGGGCTCTATGGTTTATTCTCATCTTTTTCAGTACCTTCTGGGGGGGAATTGTAGCCCAACTTTCAGTGAATGAAGTAGCTGGTTCATCATGTGTAGCTGAACAGCTAAATATCTTGGTGCTTAGCAAAGAAGGCATCCTAGATTTCACATGGGCAAGTTTATATTACAAGGATATTGAATAATGCTTAGTTCTAGTAGTATCTCTAATTTCCCTAATTTTCCCCTGCTTTTCATTATTTGCAATATTGTAGATTCTCTTAGTGTAGTGGTAGTTCATCTGGGAATCTGAAGTGAATGTTTTTTCTTGGATGTCTTCCCCTCCACACTCACTCAGAAAACTTTTTGATCCCTAAACAAAAGTTGTGGAATGGGACTGAAAGAACCTCTTTACCCCCCCCACCCTTCTGAGCTCTGTAGGTTGTGATGCTGGTATTGCCAGCATGTTCTAAACAGGAAATTTATATGGAATGATTCATCATTAATTGGATACATCTGCCTCCCTCATGAAGAGGGATGAGAATACTCCTAGCTAAAAACACTAGCATTGTGTTCCTAAGAAAATCTACATCTTGGATTCAGTTTTCACTTATATCAGTGAAACAGAGGAAGTAGTAGTACATTATTAAAATACTCTGCAGAATGTTGTGAAAATATGTATTCAGATTTAGTGAATTTAAAGAATTTTACTAGGAGGTTGGTTAGATTAGAAACAAATCTAGCCTTGTCCAGATTGCTGTATAATATCAAATGTTGTATATTAGAATGTAAGAAGTTCATCGTGGGCATGGCAAATAGTCCTTCCTGCATATGTGAATTGAATATTCTACCTGAATGTGTAAATTTAACCAATCCAGATTATAGAAAAATACCTTATATTTTACAGCTCCTTCAAGTATATACTCTGCACTTGGAAGCAGGTTACCACAGCATTTCAAAACAGGTTGATAAAATATTTTTCATATATTCTGTTCAGCAGTAAGGCTTGGGTTTGGCAGTAAAGTTTTAAATTGCTACTTTCCTACACTTGAGATGCCAAATGAAATGGTTTTATTTATCCTATATTTTTTCATTTTAGTATTTTTTTGATCATTGTTTCATACAATTTAAAATCATATTTTAAGCTTGGCTCTAACCAGTAAGGAATATGGATTACGCAAGTTTGACTCTGCTTTTCTTTGTTCTGTCAAGGCTAGAGTATATATCTGGGAAGGGAAAAAGTAGGAAAGAGGTAGCTAAAGGAAGACCTGCTGTTGTACAGGAGAATGATAGAAAAAAAAATGGAGGGATCGTTAGCCTTAAGTGTGCATTAATGTAATAACTGAAATCTGGATTTATAACATGTAACCCACCCTTTCTGTGCATAGATCTGCCTATGGCAAAATTTGGTCTTTGTTGCATGTTCTATTTGCTAGTGACACCTCAGAGAAACAGGAGAGGGTTCTGCCTTACCTTGCTCCCAAGGATGGAGCTGCTCAGCAAACAAAACAAAGGGAGACCCTTGGGAGGAGCAGTATAAAACTGAAGGAAATAAAACCTGCAACCCAGCTCTCTCACAGCCGAGTTTGGGTGGGGATTCTGCATGAGACACTTGGCTACAGTAACATCAGCTACTGCCCTGTGTTCACTAGTAGTGTCAATCCTTGCTGCTGCCATATCTGCTTGCTTCTCTTGATGAAAACCATTAGCCCTTTCTTCCTGTTCTGCACTAGGAAGTCAAACCTTCAGCTGCATCCCTGAGTATGGCTTAGTTATTTAAGGGTTAAAGTTTAGAGAGGTAAAATAATTAAACAATGAAAGAGAACAATGAGCACAATGTAGCTGCAGACCTTATTTAGTAAAAATTATGGAAAAGTATTTGTATAGAAAGGGCAGCTTCTCTTCTAGCTGAACTTACTACCCTTTTAGTCCAGTTTGGTTTTAGTAAATGATAGTTTTGTTCAGCCTCCCTACATATTCTCCCACAATCCAGTACTAACTTCAGCAACTCTTTACCATCAGGGAGGGTGGCTATGAGCTTAGATACTCATTGCTGACTTGGAGCAAAGCAGTGTTTGTGCACGTGGTCAGAATTTCTTGCTGGACAGATCGTAAATGTCTTCCTGACACTTGTGTTGTCACCTTCATTGCTCACCAAAGATACAGTCTGAATTAACTCCTGCCAAAAGCCAATCATGTAATACCCAAGAGTGCATTGTTGCTTCTCTGTTGCCCACTGGTAATACTTTTCAAGCTACCTTATCTTACATTTTTGATTTATAGTGGATTGGTCCTGAAGCTGCTTTATTAGTTTACTGTGATTTTGCTTCTGGTGGCTGCTTGTGCAGAACCTCTGCAAGCTGTGAGGAGAAACTTACGCTGTCATTTGCAAACTGAAGCTCTGCAGAGAGCAGTCTGTACTCTTCACAGCCTGAATTTGCCAGTGTTGTGCTACTCTAGTATGTTCAACACCAAATTAAAGCCAAGAAGCATCGTGCTGCTTCTGTTGCTTCTTTTTTGTTTGTGCATTCCTTTGAAAAGCAGATGAGCCATGGG